TTTTTTCCTGTATGGGCTACATCATATTAAGCTGTAAGTTTAGTTCTGGACAAACAATCTCTTGTTGCATCTCTGGGATGGAGGTTAATGAATTCCCACAGATGATGTTGGCCAAACAGTGGTCGGCTTGTGACTTGATTTCCAGCATCATGATGTGAGGGGATCAGTATAGAAAAGCACTTTGAAGGGAAGAGGCTGCCTACAGCAGGATTGTTTCTACAAGCTAATTGTACTGAGTGCAGCTGCACAAAGCTGGATCAACAGTAATAGAAGGCGGCGCAGACTTCCTGACGCCAGCCCCGCAGAGCTCCCACCAACAGCCTGGCAATTCCAGATTGTTTTCCAGACCTTATCTCTCCCCCAAGTTTTTTTTTTTCTTCTTTCGCCTTTTTTTTTTTTTTAATTTTGTGACCGGAACAAAAGTAACAGGAAAATCCTTTGTGAAAGTAGAAAATGCTGTTACAGATCGGTGCCTTTCGCAGAAGTTGTAACTAAATATTTTGCATGCATTACTCTCCCTCCCTCTCAAAGGAAAGAAAAAAAGAAAAAAAAAAAAAAGCCAACCCGCAAACTTCTACAACTTTTCTTTGAATGAATTGGAAACGTGAGGCAAATAAAAGGGAGAGGGTAGTTAAAAGCAGCCGGGTTTAGCGAGATATTTTACCTGGTACATTGAAAACTCCCGTATCAAAACATATTTGGACACCCGGCTTGGACCGGCTGGATGGTGTCAATGACTTGGAACTGGGCCAATTTTAACAGATTTTTTTTTTTTTTGGTCTGGTTTGATGGCTTAAATATGCGGCAATTAAAGCCATTTACATTATTACTGGATGTTTTAGATAGATTTCATTAGAGGCAGGGGACAGGGCCGTGGAGGAACTCGCCGGTCCCCGAGGGGGCGGCAGCGCAGCCCCACAGGCTTTGCCCGGAGCCTGGAGCTCCGCACACGCAGCGAGGGGGGGAACACGGCCCGGGGGGAAACTGTGACCTTAAGAGGAGAAAGGACAGGCACCCTTCAGAAATAAACATGACTTTTCCTCGTAGAAAATACTTTTTTGCAGGGGGGGGAGCGGCGGGGGG